AAAACTGAAAAAGTGGCAGCAGTGAGCCTTCTGAAGTCCATAGCTGATCACAGAGGTGGATAGCCCAGAAGAACTCTCATCACTCCGGATTTGTATTTCCCTTTAGTACTCGCCACCACCACCAGTGTCTAGACCCTGGGGGGTTTCTCTTTCTATTCGGCTTCTCCTCCCCCTTAATTCATCACAGTATGATGGGGTCTAATCTCCAAAACGCTATTGTGCATACGGCAATAAAGATGTTATCAACTACAAACTAAGTCTCTCCTGATTTAAATACATTTAGTTAAGTACTCATTTGAGGTACTGGAAGTAGAAGTAATTTATTTATTTCTTCTCTACAATTCAAGGGGAAATATTGTAATTTCACTACACAACATTTATTTGATCAGTTCAGATTTTTACACACAACACTTAGGTAAAACTTGTGTGATATGATGCCATCCAACAATATATTTAAGTACCTGAAACAATAATTGGGTTAATGAAAAATAAACTGGTAGCTATTTGCTAATTGTTCAAGTAGTTAAGAAACATTTCAGTTTCTCAAAAGTTAAGAGTAAAGTATTTTTTCTGCAATAATTACCGTTACTCCTAATAATTTACGTATATTTTCCTGTTCATACTTAAATACTTTGACTTAAGTACTTTTCTCAGTTTGTATAGTGTTAGTACTTTCACATAGGTCAAGGATTTGTATACTTTCTCCACCACTGGCTGCTCCTGTGCAACGGGATTTAATCAACCTAGGCTGTGAAGTATGATTGTTATTAACATTTCTGGGTCCTTATTTTAGTTATCCGTGCTTTATTTGTAATGCAAAATAGATAATCAATGTGTAGCTACGGCCACAAAGCTAACATGCTTTCCTACTAAAGCAAAGGTTTAAAAACGATTCATGTATATTTGTATTCATGTCGTGTCTATGAAAAGTAATGAAGATTTGTCATCAACCTAGGCTGTGAAGTATGATTGTTATTGACATGTCTGGGTCCTTATCTGGATTCTCCGAGCTGTATTTTTAATGCAAAACAGCTAATTAATGTGTAGTTACAGCCACAAAGCTAACATGATTTCCTACAATACCAACGGTTAAAAACGACCGTTGGTTTTATAACGGTTAACGCTCAAATGTTTGCAGTTGATGCTAGCTAATTAGTTAGCCATTGCCATACACGGGTTGAAGTTAACGTACTTGGTTAGCTAGCTAAAACCTATGAAAAAACTGCTTAACACGCCCATCGCGACATCTTTTGGTGTCAAGACTTTTACACGTTTACTTTTGTATATTCTAGCTTGGTCATAACGTTGAATGAAACTCTGTGAAGACACTTGCAGCTACGTTAAACAAATAAAAACACACTCACAGTCCGCTCCCTTCACAGCTTCTCCCTGGCTGCCTTGGTAACAGGTCAAAAATACGGGTGCCCGCTCAGGTCAAACTTAGGAGACTCGCGTTACAGAAGTTATTATTATTATATTATTATAGTACTTATTGGTTATTAATTATTTTATTCTCTTGTGTATAAATAATATATACACAGGCAAGTTTCAGGAGGTGAAACATCATTTTTGTGTATGTTATTATGGTAAATATTTGTATTGATTCAGTAAATATATATACACACATGCTGACAAATCAAAAACTTCATTTCAATCCCACCCCTTAACCCATTGAGTTACAGGATATAGAGCCATTTAACAGTAAAATACAGTATTTCATAATGACATTAGTTCAAGGGGGGCAAAGGAGGAGACATTTTTTTTGTGTATTTTATATTGAGTTTCTTTACTTTTTAAAACCCCTTCAATTATGAAAAAAGAAAAATGCATGCAACACACAATATAATAATATATTTTTAACGTTTCATTTCGTGCATCTTTTTTAAAACAACCATTAAAATACAAAAAAGTTAAGAAAAGTGATCTTGTAGTGTGGCAAGTATGCAGAGCCCACCTACTAAATAATGTATTAAGGCTATGCTAGCCTGCTAATATATGTAATAATATGTTATAGCAATATTTAAAAACATGTGTTGGTGTCATATTTTTAAGAAATGAAATACCTTGATAGTATGTTATTGTTTCATGTGCAGTCTTCATATCTTTTAACTTCCTCAAAAAAGTGTTATGATCTAAAGGTAGAAATAATCACAGTTTCACAAGTATTTATTTATGGCCTTGCATATAAACTAAAGTGGAAGTTAATTGTTTGTGTCCTTAGCCAATTGCACAAAGAACAGCACACTTTTTTCATATACATATGTATTATGTACATAACATAGTTGTTTATTGATCATCTTCATGGTTTACAGAACAGCTGCAGCAGTTTGTTCCTGTAAACTCGGTTCAGGAAGAAGTACATGACGGGATCCAGGACCCCACTAACACAGGTGAGTGCAGATGTGATCCGATTGGCTCTTCCCAGCGACTCATGGCTTGCTGCAGTCAGATTACCATGCATGTGCATTTTAATATAGATCACCCTGCTCACATGGTAGGGCACAAATGCAAACAGGAAGTTCATGACAATCAGGACGATCATTCTTATGGCTTTGCTCTTCACCGGCCGTTCCTCCTTTTGCTTTATTGCCCTCAGTTTCAGCAGAATCAGTATGTAGGAAACCACTATGGTGGTGAGGGGAATCACAAAGGCCACGACGGTTGACACTAAAGCAGAGGAAGAAGTCTTCTCTAAGTACAGTTTGTTGCATGACCCAGTTGAGTTGTTCCTCACATCCCTTTTGGAGAAAAGTGTAGGACTCATAGACACAATAACAGTCACCCAAAGTATCCCCACTGCTACCTTTGCGTACAAAACCTTCCTGATTGACTGAGATGTTATAGGAAGAACCACAGCCAGAAACCTGTGCAGGCTGATGAAGCTCATGAGGTACAGGCTGCAGTACATGTTGAGGTAAAAGAGGAAGCCTGCTAGCTGACAGATGACGTGTCCGAAAGGCCAGTGGCTGTCGGACAGGTGGTAAACTATACGCATGGGTAAAATGAGGATGTAGGAGATGTCTGCCACAGAGAGGTGCCTCAGGAAGACCTTAGATGGAGATGTGCTGTGCTGACGAAAGAAGGCCCACAGCGCCAAGGCATTCCCAGGCACAGCAATGAGGAAAATCAGGAAGTAAAATGTGGCAAATATAATGTTCTCATGGTGGGAGTCACTGCCAAAGAAGCTCTGTGTCTCCTCGTCAGAGACGTTCATTGTGGAGAGGGTCGGCCTGTGGCAGCGTACACAAACAACCTGTCATGAAGTCAGTCTCTCATCAAAACACAACTCAAAACCTTTGCATGATATAAAGATGGCTTGTATGATAATAAAATATAAAAAAACACATGCAACGTAATGTGTGAAAGCCGCAGGAGTAAGAGATGAAAAAGACACCACTTCCTAGTTTACAATGAATGCTATTGGTGTTTTTATGATATAGTAGTTACAGTTATAGGTGATCAAATAATTGATGCATATAACCTTTATATATTTAAAAATATAGATTAATTACAGAAATATTAAATATATGTATTGAAGTCTTCCCCACAATTAATTGTCCTGCATAAGTCGTGTAAACGAGCGTGATAAAAAAAAAAAAATCAGACTTGAATCTCTTTTCTTTTTACCTCCGCTTTCAATTAAAGAGACCTTTTTATGTCATTTTCAGGTGTATACTAGTATTTAGTGTCTCTAATGTCTCCAAGCAACTCTTTTCAACCTGTATGCCTTAAACTCTTAGCCCTCAAATGTAGCATTTCATCAATAATAGTTTATTTAATCTAGATTACATTAATATTCTTACCTTGAATGATGGATACCGAATGTCCTCTTCTCACTAATCACTCATGTAAGAACAGTCAGGTAAGGTGGAAGTGAGAACTACTCTGTTATGTTATCACACACACACACACACACACACACACACACACACACACACACACACACACACACACACACACACACACACACACACACACACACACACACACACACACACACACACACACACACACACGTTCCTTTTTTTTACGGAAATGACAAGCTAGTTTCCCGCATAGAGCTGTTCAACATGTGGGCCGTCAACAGCTGAGAACTGGTTAAAAACAAAAGCGCCAGGGGTGGAAGAAGTATTCAGATCCTTTATTAAAGAAAACGTACTAATACTGCAATGGAAAAAGACTCCATTATAAGTAAT